ACCTTACCGTGGTGTGGCGGTTTGTGTACCTCGGAGACCCATTGAGCTATACTGGAGAGTGTCCCGCGACACTCACAGAGTCTCTCATACCAGGTTGGTCAATGGTTAGAGGTCTGACGAACACAGTCTCCTGGCCCTCCAGGTTGGGGGTTGGAACATGTATGGCGACTTGTTCCGTAGAAATGGTAATGCATTTGCATTTCCCCGCCAAACACCGCTGCCTTGCGGTTAGGCTTTTGAGCCAAATACTTTGGTTGAGGACCCTAATCGTCCTCCTGTCCAGGTGTGGGCGCCCTGGCAGTATTCCAGCCCACGTACAACCAATATATATATGTATAATCATGTGCTCTAAACTTTCATAAAATATCGGTCTCACACATGGTGTTTAGGACAACAGTATGGTACGTAAACTACTCACAAATAACAAATTAACGATCTTGACCGCATTTCCGTACGGTGACATGGGCATTTTTAACGCATGTCTAAAGAGAATATGGCTTTTCATGTGTTTTTGGGTTTGGCATTTGAACAGGCTACTAGATTGGAAGCACCTCAGTGTTGTCTATTTTTGTGAGTAGTATGTTGTTAGCTAATCAAAATGGGGACATCTTTACCGGCAACGGAATGATGATTATTCACAATTGATAGCGCAACGTGTGGAAGCAACCAATTCACATACCCCAGCTTCCATCATTTCTACATATACAGGTAATCATGTGATCTAAACTTGCATAGAATACCGGTCTCTCACACATGGTGTTTATAACAGTAGTAGGGTACGCGAACTACTGTAACAAATAACAAATTAACTATCTTGACGAAAAGTTCCATACGGTGAGATGGGTATTGTTCATGCATGTCTGCAGGAAATATGCCTTTTCATTTGTTTTTGAATTTGGCATTGGAACAGGCTACTAGGTTGAAAACACCTCAGTGTTGTCTATTTTTGTGAGTAGTGTGTTGTTAGCTAATCAAAATGAAGACATCTTAACCGTTTAAACTGCGAACTATTCATGCGATGGTAGAAGGTACTGCCAGATTTAGGTACCGATCTTTAACACAGACATTATGGAAGTCTTCGCTCAACGTTCTACCGTTCACAGTTAAGCGACCACAGCCCAGATGCATAGACATTTTTCGGTCGAGCTGTCACAACAACGAATTAGTTGAGGCGGTTAGTTATTCCACACCGCATAGTTGCGATACAAAGAAAATAAACCCAGAAAAATAACAACGTAGGTTAGAACAAAACGCCAACAATCCCAAGAGGATTTCTATTCGAAATGCTGTCTTTTAGTGAAATAGGAAAGATTAGATTGTATTGTTTTCTTTATTTTCTGTTCGTTCAAAGCTGTTCTGGAGCATGTTTGGAATGGCCCGACAACAGCTGCTCCCAGTCAGACGACCAAACCAAACAATCGAAATCGGTGGGACAAAAATTGAATCGGAAATTATGCACGATTTACACAAACGCCGTCTTTTTGAGAATCACTTCAAAGTAGCAGACGTGGTAAGTAGTGTACTTTGAATGTGTTTGACGCATCTACAGCAGAAAATGTGGGGGTGTCCACTTCCGATTATCAGTCTGAACACCCCAGGTTTCTCGCACGCCGTCATCGCAGAGTGGGGTTTGAGCCACTCTGCGCCCACTGACCCAACGGGGATCCACCAAATCGGTGTAGCATCAGTCACGTGACTCAGTTTAGCCGCCCGTACTTTTAATCGCAATGTCGAGCAGGCAGTCTGTTCACAGGACTGACAATAAAACACCATAGCAACTTCAAAGTTCAGCTGTCTGTTTTCCGTGAAGCCTCGGATTCTCTCCAGTCAGTACGAAACACTTTCCGTTGCTATCTTTTCCGAAACTAATCATAGGAACGGTAGCAAATTGGGAAAGCCCCCCTACCGGTTTCACCCTTCTTGCGGGTTCATCAAGTAGGCTCATTCTGTGAATTTCCATCTCGCTTATCTCCAACCTGAATATCAAACTTTGCGTATGTTGTGATAATTGGTTGCTGCACATTGACTAGGTGATGATGCAAGAATCAGATGAATTAAGGCGAAACTCGGCTAAGTTGCCTTCACAACCAAGTTAACTCCCAAATGAGTAAAAATCGTTGAGCTGTAACACCATTTTGGTGCCTAGCTGTCATGCACGACAGGTGGGACAATACCAGGTTGCCGAAGCCGAGAGGTAAGAGAAGCCGTGATCCACAGGCCTCGTTCGAACCACGGATCTTCCAGTCAGTAAATTCGCGCCCTAACTACTGAGCCCTCCAAATGGGTCTCAAATCTCCATTTTTCTAGTATTCGCGACCGGTCTTACCAACATGTCTCGGCCATAACAATTTGGTGTTTTGTGTTTCCAGACGTAACGCACTAGTAATAAAGTTGCTGAAAGTTCTTCGACAGGCCACCAATGGCTCCGCCCTTCTTGGGGCTCATTAGGGAAGCGCAGTCAACGAGTAACCGTCAATCTGATGTTCTACTTGAGATCAAATTGGACGGCCTTCACCACCTACTCTCACTTGCACTCTTATTTGGTCTTGGCGACAGAACAGAATTTCAGCTGAATCTCTCGCTTATGAATGGTCTTCTTAGCTGGGATTCAGCTCGGTCAGCCGAGAAAACCAGCTTGGTACACAAGTGAGCGTTTGTCGGATTTCATGAGATTTGGGTTCAAGTAGAACATAAGGTTGACGGAAACTCGGGGATGCGCCTTTTGGATGTGACCCAAGAAGAGCTGGCGAAACTGGTCATGGACTGCCGAAAAGTTTTCAGCGACATCTCGAAAATCTTATCAACAAAAACAAGGAGTGACCTTGTGCACCACATTCAGTTGAAGACCATCATAAACAAAGGATTCAACTGAGTGAAAAACAAAGTGATATTTATGTTTGAATTTGTTTATCTCCTTATATGTTTGCGATGCTGGCTGCTTAGCCGATCACTGTGCTATTGAATGCCCGACCTCCTAGCCACTGAACCGGGAGCGACGTGTGTGATCAAGGGTGATACGGCGCACGCCATGTGAACACCAGAACAAGCAATAATGCAGGGTTATGCGAGGTTATTCACTGACGGCTGGTGAGGTATCTGTTGCGTGGTGGATGTACACACACACACACTGTCTACAGGGGGAGCACGCTTAACAAACCACTACACATCATTTGTATCCACTGCTAATTTCAGCATTTCCAACTTCACTTTTTTCCAAGTCCACTTAAAAACACCTTAGGATTGACGGGAATTAGGTCTGTATGATGAATCAAAGTAGGGGGAACCCAGTTATCAGCTGTCCAAACGCTTTATGTCACCTATAAATAGTGTCACATCAAGGATAGCAACATATGTGGTTGGTACTTGCAACCGAATCGTAACCGAAGACCCACTGGATGGCTGTTTGGTTGCAATTTCGGGGTTTCAAGCGTGTGTCACGCTACCTGAGTGGGAAGTCCTGACTGGCGGGTCAGTCGATCGTCACAACCAGGACAGTTACTGGGTCGTCGTTCGATGAGTCGGGCACACTAGTCACATCGCTCAGGTGTGAACACGTTCGCCTGTTCAGACTGGTAATTCAGATGCGTCCAACGTGCGCCGGTGGAGTAGTGGTTACACGCTCGCCTCGCATGCCAGATATCCGGGGTTCAAATCCCGGCACGGCCATTGGATATGCACTGCTGATGAGCTCTGGTAAGCGCGAAGCTCGAGTCCAGTGCTTCACTTTGGTGTGGACGCACCGGAATAATTACGCCAGAACAGGAACACGACCGTTCAAGCGAGAGATGAGTTCACTGTAGTTGATTATTCACCTTGAGTCTAATCGAATCACAACCTTCGTTAGGCAATTCAGGGTGAAATTGTGTACGGAATTCGGTGTCGATTGCTAACATTTCAGGCTTCACTTCATCTACCTTTCCCAACTTCCTGTCACAGTATCTTCCGGTTGATGAACGTTACTGGCCTCCTGTTGTAATGAACTGTCATGACAATCGTACCTTTGGAACAAAGGTCATCGTTGGAACATATACATTCTCAAATGTTCGGGATTACCTGGATGTTTCCAGCCGTAAGTCACACTGGCCTCTAGATAGTATTGTACAGTTGTCCGGTGCCAGTCAAATTAAGTCACCTGTCACAATGGGGGAGAATTGTGGAGTTTTAATAGACGCAACCTAGGCGGGTCAACCATTTTGTTCTGGTCGATTCCGAAGTCTCCTTGCTAAATCGCCCTGTGTTGCTCTCGTTCAATATTAGCAGTACGCTAGTTGCTAAAGGAGTTGGAAAGGCATTTGATTGGAAGGGCATTTGATCGGAGGGGAATCCTTACGTCAGGTTTAATTGGCCCAGGTGGCTCATAGACGGTTTGAGCATGAACGTGAACACGCTTGTTTGCTGATTCATACCACGGTCCAGCGCAGTGCTCTAGTGAGGCACGGCATATGGCACATTATAGTAGTATGGTATAGTATAGTATATAGTATAGTATAGTATAGTATAGTATAGTATAGTATAGTATAGTGTAGTATAGTATCTCGTAGTGTAGTATAGCAGTGTGCAGTGAAGTATTGTATAGCGTAGTGTGTTATAGTATATTGCAGTATATTATTGCTTAGAATAGCATAGTGGGGTGCAGTAAAGTGGGAGGCAATGTAGTATCCATCGGTGCAATCTGGATGTCGTAGTATAGTGTAGATTTGTATGGCATAACACTTGTCATCCAGCGGTCACGCGCTTGGTCGTTGTTACAAATCTTTTGATATTTCTCATCCCAGTTGGTTTGCCGGAAGATGACGAGGATTCCACCTATGACGAGGGGCCAAATTTGGCTCCGCGACTGAACATCAGACTTGATTCCCTGTTTGACCAAGAAGATGCTATGAGTGGGCGTGATCAATCCAAGAAACGTTCGGATGCCTCAGCGAGCCGCCGGAGCGAGGTGACAATGGAGGATTCGGAGGGATCTGAACCTACGGAAATTAACCTGGATGATATCAATCCGAATTTCGTCGCACCAAAACTAGAGGGCAGCATAGAAACAAGGTCGATAGCAGACTCGGGAGAGCAGCGTGGGCCTCCTGATTATATGGATATCACCGCTGGAGGTGTGAGTGCCCTCGCGTATAGTTTAACCTTATTCTAGCCTGGTCTGTCTCGGTTTTTCTCATGCATACGTTTGCATGAGTGATTGTCTGAAAATATCCCCAAGTTTTACCTCGAACCTGAAGTCTGCTCGGGAGGTAACTCTGTGTTGCTAGAATGCAGAGAGACGGTTGATTAAAATTAGAGAGGGGACCGTGACATATTGTATGCCAACACATTATTTGGCTGCTGATATATCTAATACGATAACTGCTCAACTAGGTATTTCTTTGCACTTTTATCTGTTGTCCACTGATACGATCAGGTATGTACCCAGGTAGCAGCTCAGTAATCTGTCTGACGGATGGCTCACAGTTACAGGGACTTCGGTAAACTTGTGAATGCCTTCAGCGAAGGAGAAAGTTGATTTTTGTTGAAAGTCATCAGATAGATGCAATCCCAAATTTCAAGAGTCGCGTGTACTGCGTCGTGAAGTAACCACGCGCCTACACCTGAGTGGACGAATGCCACATTGACTGGCTAGCAGATCGTGTCCTTATTTGTCACCTACCCCCAGGTAGTATTCTTTGCTACGCCGATGAAATTCATAGAGCACACACCTGCAACACAGTAGTCTCGGAGCCGCGATGCAAACATCTTGGATGTGTGCGTAACCTAGTGTAAACGTGAGCCAACGCGGAAATGACTATCGAACAAGAAAGGCTTGTTCTTAATCGCGCCGTCCCATACCGATCGGTATGCACGCGCGTTTGGTTGTCCAGGCCTAGCCATAGAATGGAGAACAGGCCAGAGAAACCGGTATTCTACAACTGCGGTTGAGTTGTAGTAGCTCTTGATCTGAAGGTTGGTTAATGTGGTGTTAGTAGTGTCAAATTGTGAGAGATCCGTCCCCGCAGTTAAGACTTCACTTTCAGGGCATACAAAGTCTTGCGCGCAGGCATTTCAGTCACATCCCGACATTTGGTCTTCTTCATACAAAAGCGGCGTGTTGGCAAAGGTTCATACGTCACATGTCACATGATGTCAGCCAGACGAATGAAATCGATTAGTCATAGGGACAAAAGCTTGTCAAACGTGCCATGAAGGTGATAGAGGTTAGAAAAAGCTAAACGCTGGGAACGAGTATCGAAACGGCGTTACATAATGGGACAAAATGGAATAGAGTAAACGGCCAAAAATACAAATGCAGAAAGTGAATATCCATGTTAAGAGTACGTTAGATAGCAGTTGCCTTTGTGTACCTAAGTGAGGATTAGGACGATGTATGGGGACTGCTTTAGGACATAGAAGTGACTTTAAAAGCCGTCATTAGATCTATAGTAAGTTCAAAAGATGTCTTGTACCGGTGGATTCGGGACAACGCGACTCTACTCTGATAGACCACTTCGGTAATTTCTCTCTTATTCGTGTCCTAAGGTGCCTCGTAAATCTTCTGACGTTCGATGCAATCGAACTGACATATCGGGCTGGATTTGGTGAGTCAGACATCCTGGTCATTCCTGGGTGAGGTAGAAATACAGGTAGCTTGTTGAAGAAGGACTAGTTGAGCAACCTTGTGGGTATGTTTGATCCTTGATGTTAGATGACACCTAATCAAGGACGACAGGTCATCTCACCTAGACAATAGCACCAAGCAGGCTGCGTTTTTGGAACAGCTGGATTCATGTGGCTCGGAGGTTGAGGATCATAGTACTCTTCTATGAAGCTCAACGGATAACGGTTTATAACCAAGGTGTCTTTGAACATCTAATGTTTGATGTTGTCAGGAGTAGCAATGCTCTAGACTTGTGGGGGGGGGGCGACTAGAGCCCATGCTTGTTCGATGGGGGTTGAACTCTTAAAGTGCAAGTGTCATCCTGTTCAAACGGTTTTCCTTAAAGCACCATGGTTATGCTACCTATCATGCTGTCCAGCCAGAAGCACATCAAGAGAAACTATCTTTCACTTTTTTTCTGAGTTCTACTGTAAAGTTTAAATGAGCTTGAACACTGAGATTCCTCTGTTTAGTTGTGATCAGGGGGGGGGGGGGCAAAGAGGTCATTGACATTTATCCTTATTCACCAACAGTTCTTCAGGTTCTCTTGGAGTTACAAGTGTAGAAGTATTCTAAGGGAAGTTCTAAATATGGGCTTTTTGACTGGCAAAAGCGTAAGCAATGTCTGTCACTTCAATGACTGGAATACTTGTAAAGAAAGATTTAACATTGAGTGAGGTTGTCATTTTGTTCGTGATGTCGATATTCTGGACCACATCCACTAACTGGAAGTGCTCCAAAAGCCTACCATCCTTCAGATCAGCGCTTTGAAAACCATGATAGGCTGTTTCTGGGGGAGCAGAGGTAAGTCTGTTGGACCGCTTCACTGCTCCACTTGTTTAGAACAGTCGTACTTCAGTAAACTCAGTGTTCCATTCAGTCGCTTCTTTAACTCTATTCCATTGGTGTCGAATCGATCGCGTACACGGATCGGCAAATGGAGCATTATTAGCAAAGCGAGTGACATCATAGCGCAGACGTGTTTGAATGCACCAACCTATGTTACGAATTGGCTGACTGATTCTAACTTTTGAAGTCAGGTTACTGTGCTTCAGGTAAGTAGACACAAGCTGGTCGAAATGGGAACGCTGACAAGGTGACCCATCGTTTCATTCTGGGTTATTGGTGTGAAACTGATGACAGTCGATGGATATTGATGACAAGAGTATGCCAGAAGGGAGTTGCCTGAGGAGAGATCTGGTTGCAAAAGCGCGAGGAGATCTTAGTGACATCAGCGCGGCAACCTGAAGGGAGAACGGAGGGGGACGGCAGCCACCTACAGGCTGATCGGTCCTTGTTTTGGGTTGATACTTGTAGGGGGCGTTCCAGCTGAAGAAGCGGTTACTAAACGACCAGCGTCTCAAGAAACAGAACTAACCAGGGCTGAGGCGCACATCCTCACGATGTCAGACGCAACAAAACAGTGCGCTTAAAACAGGCCGTCTGACTGGTTCTCACATTTCTGAACAAAATCAGGTGAACTCAATGACCATCACACCATGGGGTGGAAAACATCAGCCAGTTATTGCCAGCAAGTACTGAAACTAACAGGTGAGCAAAAGGGATAGGTGGACTGAAAAAGAGATGAGTAAACGGCCTGAAAGAGTTTCCATACCAGTCCGCTGACTGTTATTACCGAGAACTGTTTCAGAATTACTTTTACGTCGTCACAAAGCCTGAACAGACTTCTTGATTAAATCTGAATAATCAACTAATTAGTTGTTTTTATCTGGATAATAACATCTGGGCTTCCGTCAGGAGGACAAAAGTACATATTTCACAACTCATGATAGCAATTCGTTTGGCATGGTAACACGTGGTTTTTCCATTTTCAGCCCGAAGCAGTGGTACATATGGGGCCAACTCCAGAACAGCTGGCCAGCGCAGATTTTTGGACGAGGTACTTTGCCACAATTAATGCAGCTGATACGTACAAGGAAGAGGTGAGTGATTTGACGACTTGGTTGCGTGAAATCGCTCTAGCCGGCACCGGTTAACTCTGGTTTGAAAAGACCGTTTCCGTCATCCGGAAGAACTGCCTTAATTGCGGAGGTTACCTCTACTATTTTATGTGGGTCATTGCTTTACAAACTTCACCTGTTTGTTTGCCAACCGACTTCATATAAAAATGAATGCAATAGCTCACTTCCTTTTCTTTGCTTCGAGGGTAATTCGTGTTTCCTAGGCTAGTAACTATAGTGACGTCCACTTGCCCGATTAGAAATGACTGCATCTTGTAGCCATTAAAGTGAAATAGGAGGAAATTTAATATCTGCTTTGAATTTTTCCACAGTCATCGTAGATTCGCTGTCGACCAGGTGGCAGTTGATCCGTTCGCCAAGCTTGGCGGTTGGTTTGAAAACGTTTTTTGACAGTTTCCAAGCTCGGCAAACAGATTAGCTGCCGCTTGATTAATATCACGGGTGAACATCCCACTAACATCCGAGTAGAGTTGAACTGGAAGCCTCCCAGCTGCTGGTTGAAGACCAAACCGTTCGATTATCAATGACTGGTCAACAGTGCGACTAAATCGTGCTCCGATAGAATATCATTTAGTCACAGAATTCAGATCACATGGTCACGTGTTGACTGTCTCCCTGGTCGAACTCTATAGGCTTGAACTATCAGTGGGAGGTCATTAGTTCGAATCGCCCTAGAGCATCGTAGGGTGTGCCGTGCTGATGATTCCAGTGGAAAGTCCACGAGCTATATGCTCCTTCTAAGCCTTTTGGTACAGCTTGATTTAAAGGATGAAGACCCGACTGACGGATTTTCACACTATTAACACGTGATCCATAGTTCATACATTCACTGAGACTATCATTATTTAGACACATTGCCAAACACTGTAGAGGAACGCTGAAAAGCAGTTCAACAGGTTCCGTAATAACCCTCACCTTCCATTAGACGCGAGACGGAGCTACGAGAAAACTACATACTACTCGTATGCCTCATCAGCAGCGCCCGCCGTTTCACCATTATTTAGGCACATTACAAAACACTGTAGATGTTGGTAGATAAGCTAGGATTGGAGACTCAATCTGCCAAAGTTCTCTTGCTTCTGTGGTGTTGAGAGGTAGACAGAATTTGGTACTTTTGATGTTCGGAAGGCTAAGACAACTTAAAGAATTATACTAGTAGGATGGATCCTACAGTCGATAGACCGCAGGAACTTCAGAGGTACACGCAGTCCATTCCTTCGCAGGTTAGTGGTAGGCACTTCAGATGTCTCAATATGGTGTGATCACAGTGAACAAGTGTAGCTTTATTGTCTAGACGCAACACACTACTCCTAAGGTTACTCGGTAACACGAACGGTTTCGACCTTCTTGGAGCTCATCAGGTAGGCGCAGCCCTCGAGATTCGGTCCACCTTATATTCTACTTGATCTCAAATGGGACATATCTTTACAAATATTTTCATTCGCTTCAACTGAAGTGGATCATCATAAACGCAGCATTCAGATGGATTCAGTTGAGTCTCCTGTCAACAAATATTCGTGTGAAAATGGGTGTATTTGTCGACTTTTTGTCAGGTAGAACATGAAGTTGACGAAAAATCGCAGACTGCGTCTATTTGGTGAACCTCAAGAAGGGATAAAGCCGGTCGTGGGCTATCGAAGAATTTTCATCCACCTTGCGAGTAGTGTGTTAAGTCTAGACAACAACGTATTACGATACTTTGAGTATCATACCAACTGAGGCTGCATGTGGTGCAACAAATTCAGTTAAAACGCAACATCATGATCGAGAGATTAAACTCGATTCAGTTGTATGTCTTGTCAAGCCGACTCAGTGTGCAAATGAGAGCATTTGTCGTAGTGTAGCTTTGCTGGATTTGATAGTCAAGCGTCTTTTATGTTAAATGGTACTTTTTTCTGTCATTATGATCCTTTTCATTCGGACTGAAGCGTAGTCTTGACTTTCATATGCGGCATCCTGTTTCGTAGTTGGGATGTTTCTAGATACAACAGAGATATTTTAATATCGTAGTCAATATTCAAGCATCGTTTTTGTCAAAAACCATTTACCGTTTTGTGGGAGAGTTTCCATGGTGTGTTCGATTTTGTGGGGGGAGATTCCAGGGTGTGTTCGATCTGACGAAATCACTAGTTCTTCAGACTACAATTCTTGTTCACCTGGAGGAAGGTGTTTGGCTGTTGGACCTGTGGAGAAGCTTCCTAAGTGCAGCAAACATCCAACAACATACTGCGAGTAACTCCAGAGCTTTTCAGGACCAGCTTGCATTTGCGCCAAGTTGGAGGTTTTGTCTATAGGTCACGTGATATCCACTCGTTCCACGTGATTTGTGTAGCGGCATCGCGAGCATCCATTCAATGGGTATTTCTTCGTTCCATTCATTCACGAATACTGGCGCTGAGGAGATGCAGTTGGGACCAGATGCCTTGTTACAGTTCACAAATATAGTATCTCTTTTATTTCCATACCACTGTGGTTTTCACGGGGGAACTTACCTGAATCTCTCGTTTTGATATATCGCAATTGAGTGTGTTGCATAAAGACCGCCTTATGTTTCAGTTGGGAAGATGTTCGAGATATTGCTGCATGTTTCCATGAAAAACTGCTCAGAAGGATAGCTGAAAACCCCTTGACTACACATGAGATATCCAGCTGGGTTTCAGTTGAGTACCCCGTGGGAAACAGATTGAAGTGTAAATGAGTGTATTCGGCGACTTTCGTGCATTTCGGGTGAACATAAGGTTGACGGAAACTCGGGGACTGCGCCTACCTGATCAGCCCCAAGAAGGGCGAAACCGGAAGTGGGCTGCGGAACTGTTTTTATCAACCGTATGAGTAGCTTTCATCATTGTTTACACTTCCTATTCTTCTTGCACCGAAGGTTTTACGTTCACACTCCAATCTACATGATACACTGACTATAGGGTTCACGCTGTTAACTCATTCTTTCATCCAAGTGTGAGGTTATGCTAACCGGTGGAAGATGTGGGAGTACGTGATATGTGTCATTCTTCATCCTTTTCCAGGAACGACATGACGAGTTGACAGATTCAGACGCTAGCAGTTTGAGTGACAAGTTGGACCAGATCAAAGTGGCCGAGGAACCAGCCGGTAAGTGGCGGTTTTTCCTACATTCCGGGTCATGAACGTCTCTCCTTTACGTCAAGTCACGAAAGCTGGAACTCAAAATGTCAGAGAGGGATTGTGGCCTACCACCATTACTACTAAAATGTTCCTTCTTAAATCTTAGGGAACACCTCATACTGTCTGTGCGACAATCAACGCTCCCATGAACAACGTTAATTAGACAGCTGTCAGCTTTCCAACTTGGCGTTTTCCCCAGGATTATGATTGCATCTTATCAGCGAAACTCTATGTATTATCGAGCACGCCAACAGTATTCCGGAATTCGTACATTTTGTGTTAATATGTAGAACAACCTGGAGAACTGACACGGGCTGCCAACTTCATCGCCATCATCATCGACAGCATGACATTAGTGTTCGACACCTATGCCTCGCTCCGTACAACCATGATTTATTTGAAAGCCCCAATGTGAAGAAAAGAATGAAGGTGGACGGGTAAGGTACTTAGTGCTACTACAATTCTTGTTCACCTGGAGGAAGGTGTTTGGCTGTTGGACCTGTGGAGAAGCTTCCTAAGTGCAGCAAACATCCAACAACATACTGCGAGTAACTCCAGAGCTTTTCAGGACCAGCTTGCATTTGCGCCAAGTTGGAGGTTTTGTCTACAGGTCACGTGATACCCACTCGTTCCACGTGATTTGTGTAGCGGCATCGCGAGCATCCATTCAATGGGTATTTCTTCGTTCCATTCATTCACGAATACTGGCGCTGAGGAGATGCAGTTGGGACCAGATGCCTTGTTACAGTTCACAAATATAGTATCTCTTTTATTTCCATACCACTGTGGTTTTCACGGGGGAACTTACCTGAATCTCTCGTTTTGATATATCGCAATTGAGTGTGTTGCACAAAGACCGCCTTATGTTTCAGTTGGGAAGATGTTCGAGATATTGCTGCATGTTTCCATGAAGAACTGCTCAGAAGGATAGCTGAAAACCCCTTGACTACACATGAGATATCCAGCTGGGTTTCAGTTGAGTACCCCGTGGGAAACAGATTGAAGTGTAAATGAGTGTATTCGGCGACTTTCGTGCATTTCGGGTGAACATAAGGTTGACGGAAACTCGGGGACTGCGCCTACCTGATCAGCCCCAAGAAGGGCGAAACCGGAAGTGGGCTGCGGAACTGTTTTTATCAACCGTATGAGTAGCTTTCATCATTGTTTACACTTCCTATTCTTCTTGCACCGAAGGTTTTACGTTCACACTCCAATCTACATGATGCACTGACTATAGGGTTCACGCTGTTAACTCATTCTTTCAGCCAAGTGTGAGGTTATGCTAACCGGTGGAAGATCTGGGAATACGTGATATGTGTCATTCTTCATCCTTTTCCAGGAACGACATGACGAGTTGACAGATTCAGATGCTAGCAGTTTGAGTGACAAGTTGGACCAGATCAAAGTGGCCGAGGAACCAGCCGGTAAGTGGCGGTTTTTCCTACATTCCGGGTCATGAACGTCTCTCCTTTACGTCAAGTCGCGAAAGCTGGAACTCAAAATGTCAGAGAGGGATTGTGGCCTACCACCATTACTACTAAAATGTTCCTTCTTAAATCTTAGGGAACACCTCATACTGTCTGTGCGACAATCAACGCTCCTATGAACAACGTTAATTGAACAGCTGTCAGCTTTCCAACTTGGCGTTTTCCCCAGGATTATGATTGCATCTTATCAGCGAAACTCTATGTATTATCGAGCACGCCAACAGTATTCCGGAATTCGTACATTTTGTGTTAATATGTAGAACAACCTGGAGAACTGACACGGGCTGCCAACTTCATCGCCATCATCATCGACAGCATGACATCAGTGTTCGACACCTATGCCTCGCTCCGTACAACCATGATTTATTTGAAAGCCCCAATGTGAAGAAAAGAATGAAGGTGGACGGGTAAGGTACTTAGTGCTACCTTACTACAATCAATCCGAGGTGCCCACACTCCCAAATACTCATTCAGGCAATATGGATAGAAACAGACAACAAGATCGTCACTGACATCGGTTGGCAGCCCTATCTTGCAGCGTCTTCAACCAGGCGCTGTGGAGATCAAGCAATCCCCATCCTGGAAGGCGAGTATCACCGACAGAACCCATTTATGAGTAATTGTGTACTGAACGTTTCCTCTAGTTCATGCTACTTTAGGAGCCTTATTAATATGGCGACAAAAACAGTCGTTCATTACCCACTCACCTGAATATTTCAGGTGTAGTACATCTCCCCACCGATGAGGTCATCATCTTATAGGGTGCCTTTTGGCCTTTCTGGGAGTTGGACTCTTCTCTTGGATAATGCATAATATTCAACACCGACTTATCAGATCGTTGAAAACAAAGGACAGAACCGTGAAAGTATCCGAAACTGGTGTTTTGAACGAGATCCTTGGCTGATTAGGTCTTCTGATGTAGATACCACTCAGTTCATACTGAAAATTGTTCGTAGCGTGAGAAGATTTTGTAATTTCCAATAAAGATTTGGTTCTGGTGGTAAATCTGTTCTCAAAAGCCAACAAGCAGAGCTGTTTCATCCTCATTGGGAATCAAAAACTGTGAGCATCGTACGAAACTCCAGGGACTTTTGAACCCGTGGTTCGACCGTTCGATCACGATAGGCTGAACAGCAGTGTGATTTGCTCGCACTTAGTGTATAGCGTCCCTCATCCTCCAATCACGGGGTACACATCACGTGGTCACGTGTGGACTAGTTGCTCGAGTGACGACTTCTCAGATCGAAGGGTGACTGAATGTGTGGAGTAACTGATCCTCTGAGCTATTTTTAGCTCGTTGGTGTTGTGAGGAGAAATTGGGTTCGAAACCAATCTATACTGAAAATCCAAGAAGCACTCTGCAACTATTTTATGTTTCATGGGGATCATCAGCAGTGCAACGACGAAGTGGCCCGTCGGAGTCTCACACTGAATAACTCTTACTTAAACAAAGAGATAAATTATCGCTCCAGAGCAGAATAATCCAGTTATTTGCAACTATTTTATGTTTCATGGGGATCATCAGCAGTGCACATCTTGCAAAACCCGTCGGAGTCTCACAATGAACAACTCTTACTTAAACAAAGAGATAACTTATCGCTCCAGAGCAGAATAATTCAGTTACTCATAGTTATTTATTCAGTTATTATTATTTATTATTTATTCAGTCATTTATAGCGTCTTCATTGCTTCTGTTTTAGCATTTTTTTGATACAGTTGTCTCGCCTAAGCTTAACGAGAGTGGCGTCGTAAGCGAGTGATGAAAACGAGAAATATGTTGCGGGATCGTTCGGAAAACTAATAGAGATCAGATATTCAGCCTTTGGCTTAGCTCCAGACAGCTCCAAGGTCAAACGCAATGTGTACTCATCCCTTCAGGGTCGATGGCCTTGGTGAACTTTGGCCGCACAGAGTGATAAAAGATTTGCATGTTCAATCCACTTTGAAGCGATTGTGTACTTTCTGGCATTTAGTCTTCATCCATTTTCTCCCAGGTGCCGTCGTGACACACAAAAATTTAGCAGGATACGGAGTATCCACGACGAAGTGGCGTATAAGCCAGTACTCAGTAACCAATCAGAATCACTTGAGTAAAAAACTGAACTTACAAGACCCACGCACGCCATACCGTCGCCCACCAAAGAACGTTTTCTCCACTTGAAACCTTCGCAGACCAGGATTTCGTAAGGAACAAATCATGAAATGGCGACAAGGAATGAAACTGGCTACAGTGAAACTTAGTTCTTGACACCTGGGTTATGACACAGGTAGTTTTCCTTGCAGACGCCTGGAAACCCTCACAGGACGTGGCGCTTAACTGATAAACCGAATTGGAGGTTTGCGCTTGGTTTGTGTTAGTGATAAGGACCCCAAACGCTGCTAGATGTCTTCCCCTTTTAATCAAATTTCTCAGCTATGTTTAGTTAACTGCTGTTTGAGTGGGTAGGCACCCCATTCTTCATAATTTTCTCAAATGACGTTATTTGGTTTTTGCGAACCAAGAATCCTCCCCTCTCGTCTTTCTTTCCACTATTCACTGAGGTGTTCTTTCCTCAGTGTCTTCCAAAAACCGGTGATCAGCAGTTTCTCCTACTGAAGCTGCTGCTGTGCTGTTGAAGCCAGCACATAAGACAAGTAGCAGTAAGAAACGGGAATATTAGCTGGACGTTCGAGTCCAAAGCTGATCGCGCTCCATAGAGGGGATGCTGCATTTTCGTCTGAATATGTTCAGCTGATCTACCCATGTTTTTAGATAGGTCCCCAAAATCAAGTTCTTCATTTAAACTATCCACTCCCAGAAAGTGTGGTTTTTCGTTGTGATTTTCAGCTTACCGTGGGGTCAGTGAGAATGCCTCGGAGTTGAAATGGGCGATATCGTAGATGTATCAGGACGGTTGGTGTTTGGCTCTGCAAATGCAGGAAGTACTATCGACATCTGACAGTATATCGGAATATTGGTGGCTTGGGGGTGTTGATCGGTTGTTGATCAGGTGGCTGCTAATCTGTTTGCCGAGCTTGGGAAGTTGCTTACAGACGTCTGATCACCATCAGTGAAGACATCATCAGTGCGGGGATGATGCCTCTCCACCTGACGATGCACATCTGCAAGGAAATTGCCAGCCTCGGCGGACAGATCAGCAGCCGATTGATCTGCAACTTACGGACACTCTTGCCTAATGGCCTCTCTTTGTGGAGGTGTTCAATCTTGTGTAAACTAACCTCATTGGAACTATGTTGGAAGGACACCAGGGTCGACAGTGATAGCCCTTGCTTGAATTCGATCCCCCCATAGAAGAAGCTATGTAGGTGACAAGGTTGCTCTTCTAGACGTGCTGTAAACTTGAATGACGTATCTACACGTCAATGGGCTTAGGTAAACACATAACTTAACTGTGACTAGAAATTTTGTAAACAAATAACCGTTTAAATAACTGACTGCTTGAAACTGTACGAAAGTATAGAACACACTTCAGCATTGCATTGTGTGCTGTTGACGGACCAGCTAGTGGCACGGTAATGCCACACATGCTGCAGATTGGCAGTCCTGAACTTCTCAATTCGAAAGAACAACTCGTCTTTTTCAGGCCTACGACTGGTACAAAGTCTGAAGGACGAGAATCGGGCAACTGCATTGTTCAGTTCATGACGGCGCATCAAATTTTTATCGGCCTCAACCGATTTTTTTTAACAGAAACCATCACTAGCGTTGTAATACTCTCAACTAGTCACCCAGCACGTCTGTTTCAGTTAGACTGATGGCATCTGAATTTGCACACAATTCGAAAACGCCTACGTGCCAAATTTGCAACAGAAATTGCCTTGAGAGCATTTTCATCTCGCAGACATATGTTGTTCCACGATTACTCGATATCAAGGCCAGATTTAACGGGTTGAGGCAAGCCCTCCCGTAGACATTTACCCGGTCACAAGTGTCACAATTATTGAACCTTTCGATGACCTTGAAGTGAGTGTCTTCGTTAATTTCTCACCGCTTCAAACTTTCATTTCTCTCTAACTTGTAGAAGAAGTTCCAATGGAAATATTGGATCCAAGCGCCACAGCACAACAAAAACGCAAATGGTGGAAAAAGAAGAAAAAACAAAAAAGAATTTTGACCGGTCGTGAAAAGCGCCAATTGGAGATAGAAAAAAGACGCAGAAAGCGTGTGCAGAAAAAGAAACTTCGTCAAAAAATTGCAGAGAAATTTGTAAGTCACGTGGTAGTTTTTTTGCTTCATCAGCAGTTCTTCTGCACCCAGTAATTTAACATTGTTCGGGTAGATGAATCACACTACTGAAATTTCGTGAGTAGGGCTGCAAAAAACGGGAATTTTTAATATGTATACTGTTCGGACGGTCATTTGGACGGACGAATTAATCAACCGATCATCTGTTGTGCATGTGGGTCAGAGTGTCCTGAAAGCAAAAACAACTTTTTGGCGCTTGACGACAAAATTTTCTCAAGGTCTTTTGGGTAGTTTCGACGCAATCCCGATTAATGTTTATGTAGGCATTGCATCAACATCGGTCATTTTTCCCCGTTCGCCAACTTGCCGGTATGTATCAGAAAGTCGTATTTTTATTTACAATACTTGATTGCCGTCGATCAAAACTAATTTGCACGTCATGAAAAATTTCGTGATCAGGTTGAAGACCCTGGTTTCGAGCATTTGATCCAGAAACGGCTCAACTCTTTCGGACATTGGTCAAAACGGAGGGGGTCAAATTTATCCAGGAACAGGGCTTTCTTGGGAAAAAGTCACTTTTACCATTGCAATTTAAAATGCCAACTACTCTGTGGTATTCTTTTGTTGTAAGCAAACATACAGGGTGACAGTCCCGCCAATATGATTGATCCTGAGGTCGTTGCCTTCATCAATCCACACTTCCAACACCTGATATCTGTTGGCAATATCCGTGTTGACAAGTACTTCGCTGCCGTGCAACCAAAATTAAAGTTAAATTCCTCAACTGAGAAGAGGAGGAAATAGTGGATGAGGTTCGGACCCGGTGCTAACTTTTTGCAAGCTATCTGAGGTGATCACTCCACCGTGTGCTCAATCAGACAATCTGGAAAGATGGTTGACAATGTTTTGGCGTGAATACACATGGTCTAAACACTGGACGTTTTTTTTCGCAACTAAATTACCCTCAACACAACTAAATGCCCGTTCTGTAATTACGACTTGATCGCGCCACCAGCAATACGTCCTAGACGTTTGTGGCTGAAGATCTGATGACTTCTCAGATCATCTATCCGAGGAGGGCATGTTTTGTAACCATACAAAAACACATCCACTAGCTGTAGCCTCATACATGCTACTCTTGCGACTCGGTGATATGCCTTTTTGTCACTACAAGCAAGCAAAGTAGCAAACGTGATTTAGACCTTCGAGATTCATGCAATGACATCATCAGACATAATTCTGTCAGAGCTCATACAACTACCGAGGTGTGTAGAATGCTCCACAACCTCCAGCAATCCTCCTGGAATCGCAAGGGGCACGTTTCGCAGTAGGGATTTAAAATTAAACCTACCGCGTGTTATATCCAAGTTGGTTCTGTTGGCATGAACAGGCATCTCTCCCCGAACAAGTCCACAGAGTATTGTTAAAGGTGTTTATATTGACCATTCTCCAAAAGCACTTCCCACATCGACTGTGAACTTCTCTTTGAGTCGCCAAGAAATCCCTAGCTGGACGCAATGGCCCCTAATTCGCATACCTGTTGTTGGAAGGTTGTTCTCACGCCCATTTGTGTACTGGAGTCAATTTGGACGATAGAATTAGAGTTAGAACAATGACTGTGATGATATATACCTCCATAGGTACGGACAGGTGTGTTGGACTCATGGATGCGAAGACTACTCTTGAATGACGTATCTACACGTCAGTGGGTTTAGGTAAACACATAACTGTGACAAGAATAGAAATTTTGTAAACAAATAACCGTTTAAATAACTGACTGCTTGAAACTGTACGAAAGTATAGAACACACTTCGGCATTGTACACTGTGCTGTTGACGGACCAGCTAGTGGCACGGTAATGCCACACATGCTGCAGATTGGCAGTCCTGAACTTCTCAATTCGAAAGAACAACTCGTCTTTTTCAGGCCTACGACTGGTACAAAGTCTGAAGGACGAGAATCGGGCAACTGCATTGTTCAGTTCATGACGGCGCATCAAATTTTTATCGGCCTCAACCGATTTTTTTTAACAGAAACCATCACTAGCGTTGTAATACTCTCAACTAGTCACCCAGCACGACTGTTTCAGTTAGACTGATGGCATCTGAATTTGCACACAATTCGAAAACGCCTACGTGCCAAATTTGCAACAGAAATTGCCTTGAGAGCATTTTCATCTCGCAGACATATGTTGTTCCACGATTACTCGATATCAAGGCCAGATTTAACGGGTTGAGGCAAGCCCTCCCGTAGACATTTACCCGGTCACAAGTGTCACAATTATTGAACCTTTCGATGACCTTGAAGTGAGTGTCTTCGTTAATTTCTCACCGCTTCAAACTTTCATTTCTCTCTAACTTGTAGAAGAAGTTCCAATGGAAATATTGGATCCAAGCGCCACAGCACAACAAAAACGCAAATGGTGGAAAAAGAAGAAAAAACAAAAAAGAATTTTGACCGGTCGTGAAAAGCGCCAATTGGAGATAGAAAAAAGACGCAGAAAGCGTGTGCAGAAAAAGAAACTTCGTCAAAAAATTGCAGAGAAATTTGTAAGTCACGTGGTAGTTTTTTTGCTTCATCAGCAGTTCTTCTGCACCCAGTAATTTAACATTGTTCGGGTAGATGAATCACACTACTGAAATTTCGTGAGTAGGGCTGTAAAAAAACGGGAATTTTTAATATGTATACTGTTCGGACGGTCATTTGGACGGACGAATTAATCAACCGATCATCTGTTGTGCATGTGGGTCAGAGTGTCCTGAAAGCAAAAACAACTTTTTGGCGCTTGACGACAAAATTTTCTCAAGGTCTTTTGGGTAGTTTCGACGCAATCCCGATTAATGTTTATGTAGGCATTGCATCAACATCGGTCATTTTTCCCCGTTCGCCAACTTGCCGGTATGTATCAGAAAGTCGTATTTTTATTTACAATACTTGATTGCCGTCGATCAAAACTAATTTGCACGTCATGAAAAATTTCGTGATCAGGTTGAAGACCCTGGTTTCGAGCATTTGATCCAGAAACGGTTCAACTCTTTCGGACATTGGTCAAAACGGAGGGGGTCAAATTTATCCAGGAACAGGGCTTTCTTGGGAAAAAGTCACTTTTACCATTGCAATTTAAAATGCCAACTACTCTGTGGTATTCTTTTGTTGTAAGCAAACATACAGGGTGACAGTCCCGCCAATATGATTGATCCTGAGGTCGTTGCCTTCATCAATCCACACTTCCAACACCTGATATCTGTTGGCAATATCCGTGTTGACAAGTACTTCGCTGCCGTGCAACCAAAATTAAAGTTAAATTCCTCAACTGAGAAGAGGAGGAAATAGTGGATGAGGTTCGGACCCGGTGCTAACTTTTTGCAAGCTATCTGAGGTGATCACTCCACCGTGTGCTCAATCAGACAATCTGGAAAGATGGTTGACAATGTTTTGGCGTGAATACACATGGTCTAAACACTGGACGTTTTTTTCGCAACTAAATTACCCTCAACACAACTAAATGCCCGTTCTGTAATTACGACTTGATCGCGCCACCAGCAATACGTCCTAGACGTTTGTGGCTGAAGATCTGATGACTTCTCAGATCATCTATCCGAGGAGGGCATGTTTTGTAACCATACAAAAACACATCCACTAGCTGTAGCCTCATACATGCTACTCTTGCGACTCGGTGATATGCCTTTTTGTCACTACAAGCAAGCAAAGTAGCAAACGTGATTTAGACCTTCGAGATTCATGCAATGACATCATCAGACATAATTCTGTCAGAGCTCATACAACTACCGAGGTGTGTAGAATGCTCCACAACCTCCAGCAATCCTCCTGGAATCGCAAGGGGCACGTTTCGCAGTAGGGATTTAAAATTAAACCTACCGCGTGTTATATCCAAGTTGGTTCTGTTGGCATAAACAGGCATCTCTCCCCGAACAAGTCCACAGAGTATTGTTAAAGGTGTTTATATTGACCATTCTCCAAAAGCACTTCCCACATCGACTGTGAACTTCTCTTTGAGTCGCCAAGAAATCCCTAGCTGGACGCAATGGCCCCTAATTCGCATACCTGTTGTTGGAAGGTTGTTCTCACGCCCATTTGTGTACTGGAGTCAATTTGGACGATAGAATTAGAGTTAGAACAATGACTGTGATGATATTTACCTCCATAGGTACGGACAGGTGTGTTGGACTCATGGATGCGAAGACTACTGAGCTAAGAATAGATTATTCGTCTTGCGTCTGGAAACTATCTCACTGATTAGTCTTCATAACCACATATTTTGTCCTATCATAGGACCCTCAACAAGTGGATGTTTCAAAGAATCCACTCCAGATATCTGATCAAACATCTTGTTCACGTCAGAGGAGCGGCTGGTCTGAATACCCTAAAGCTTGAAAAAGTTGTGCAGCTTAATAGGGTCATCATAGGAAAAATTTGGCGTCTTTTATCCTTTAGAAGGTGTTTGTTTGGTAAGCAAATATTGTATGAACATCTGATTTTGCTCCGTTTTGTTCGTCACTCCCAAGTGGAATCTGCACGGAATATGACTTCCTGCAGCCTCGATGGTAAACGAACCGATAGCAAACAGTGGGCTCTACTGGAGTTTTCCACTACAATCTTAGCCTGTTTCAGTGTATTGCCGGCTTCACTCCCTCCAAGTTTCTACTATCCAGATATATCCGGACCTCACGATCAGGGAGTGTCACCGAATCCGACCTGACAACCTTTAGTAGTTTTACCTAGTTCAGATGCCGACATTGCCAAAAATATTCTCTGTTGATGAGGTCTAATAAGAACAAACATTGGGTTCTCTTCTTTCTGTGTTTGATATAGTCTAACCGGTATAGGTACGCCAGAACTGGAGAGCCATCCGTCAGATATTTGGTTGAAACGTTAATACAAACAGGCATTCACCCAACATGCTCATCACTATCATTATCATCATAATCGACAGCAAAACACCCGTCTTTGACTTGGACGCTTCACTGCCGCAAAACCATAATTTATTTGAAAGCCTCATTGTGAAGAAAAGGAAAGAAGTGGATGCGGGAAGGGAATTATTGCTGGTTTAACACAAACATTCTGAGGTGCCGATCAATTCAGACACTCATTCAGACCACGTGGAGAGAAACTGACGGTCATACCTTGCAGCATCTCCAACCAGTTACAACAAGAACCACGCGGTCCCTATCTCTGAAAGCAGGTTCGGCATCCAGACTCTTCGTAATCATTTCCCTCTGCCAGGTCGAAGGTCGGTCACCACTTTACCTGTACAAACGCTGGTTCGACATGTACCCTATGTGACCAAACCACCCTTCGCTGACAAACTTTGGTGATAAAGGCCATGCGTCATTTACCAACGAAAACTCATTAGCTATCAGAAGACAAAATTAAGAAAGTAAAGCATAGTAAGAATGAGTGTCAAGTGAACATATTACAGCTTACAGAAATCGTAAACGCCAGTAGTAAGGACGAGGAAAGATGCAGGCTTTAAGGTACTTTGGATGTGATAAAATAGACGGTTGTCAAGAGCTTTGGAAAACGGTGTCTTTATGAATCCGAAATAAATCACAGCATGCAAACGAGCTCATACCGGCCTGGGTTTGAGCCTGGTAAAGATCGCCGTTTATAATTTTTCGTCACTCATTCCTTTATTATTGGACTCATAAATGATTCCACGAGAAATGCCTGTGTTTCAGGTACTGCTCGATTAACAGCCACTTACGTAGCTCCTGGAAATTTGCACAAATGACACTGTTTTACCCGACTACTTGTTCACAGGTCCATTGGGACGGATTTTGACTTTAAAACAAGTTTGACCTAGGAACTTGCTAACTCGAGAGCGACAAAATGATGTAACTCACCAAGACTAACACCTTTTTCGTCTTTCTGGCTAAAAATAGTAGTACACCCACACACACAAAGCTTTGTGGTTTGAGAAGTAATCAAGAAAACTGAAAGGAAGTTGGTAAACCTAGTGAAATGGTGATTCAGCTACTTCAAAATTTTGTACCATCCACCATCAACCATACATGGAACCAAGTGTAAATCAGCCTCTCTGCATCTCAGCACTTGCGTCGTTCACCTCGCGTTTTATTTTCAGACAGGAGATTCCAAAAGGATGTACTTTAAGGAGCACTACGATGACCTCATCCTTAACGAGGGTACACAAGGTGAAGACTTGAGTTGGGTTGAGAAAATCATGGTAAGTCACTTGAAAATTGTTTCTCGCGTTGCTCGAAAGATACTCTGTAATTATGTGTCTCAGGACAAATCAATATGAACTGGAAATAGTCTCCCATCTAGCACAATCAAAAGTTTGTACTGACTGAAGTCTTTTAGGTCATTAGCAATCGAGTAGACGTTTGAGGTATCATCGTCATCATCATCGTCATCATTATCATCATCGTCTTCATCATCATCATCATCGTCATCATCATCATCGTCTTCATCATCATCGCCATCATTATCATCAACGTCATCATCATCATCATCGTCATCATCATCGTCATCATCATCGTCATCAT